AATAACATAGAAAAATACCTGATGAGCCTGACCAACAGCTACATGATGTTCTTCAGTATCTTTAGATTGAATTAATTCATTAGATTTAGTAGCAACCTAAAAACACACACACACACACACACACACACACACAAACATATAACGGGTACTTGGTGACACGACCCAGTAAAAACGGGTACCCGATAAGCAGGTACCCGGTTTTACCGGGTTGGGTAATGGGCCGCCTGTTTCACTACCCGCATATCTGGGTACCCGCACTTCCGGATATGCGAAAACCCGAGTACCCGATTATGAACACCCCTAATAACAACATCTACTTGTAATCTCTCTCTCTTTTTTTTTTTTTTTTTTTTTTTTTTTTTGGGGGGGGGGGGGAGGGGATAGGGATTGACAACTAGACAAGTATAGAAAAATCTTTCTTTTTTTTTTAACTTCCAACAAATAAATGATATATATATGTATATATATATATAGGTTAATAAAAAAAAGAAATACAAACATAAAGAAAAGATATATTAATTTATATGATATATCAAATTTAAATACATGTATTATTTTAAAAAATTAGTAAAATAAAATACAAATATTAGACCTTAGATTTGTTGTCATCATCCTTAGGATTGATGATATCCTTGTTTTCATTCTCTTTCTCAAAAACTACTAGAGTTACTTTAGGGGAACTTTGTACAGGGGAAATTGTAACTATTGGTGATTCTTCTTGAGATGGTTGAGGAGTAGGAGTAATTAACTGAAACTTAGGAATTGAAAGATCTCTCTTTAAAAAACTCTTCCCTTTTTGCACAATTATTGCCTGATTCTCATTCAAACTAGCTGAATAATAATCATTGAGTCTCTTAGCTTTCTTTGGTGTTCTTTGAGGTGATGTTGAAGTTTCAAATGATCCTGTGACAGGTTCAAAATCAAGAACATCTTCTCCAACAACTGAACCACCAACTGATTGATTCAAACCTTGATCAATATCAGTTTCATCCTCCACGGTGACTTCATTGGCTCCATCTTTATTCTCCTCTCCTATCCCTTCAATCTTAGAATCTACAAGCATATTAGTTTCATCCTCTACATTGACTACATTGCCTTGATCTTTATTCTCTAAATTACCTTCATTGTCTTCAGTTTGGTCTTTTTTATAAGTTAACTTGTTGATCAAGATCGAAAATAACATTATTCACCTATATAAAATCAAGATTAATATCAGATACAAATCTTAAATAAATTTAAGATATAAAATAATAATAAAGATAATAAAACTTACAATATCATCAGGCTTAAGCTTATTATCAAATTGATCCAAATCAGAAGCTAACTTTTTGCTCTGCATAACAACTTCCACTATTTGATCAATTTTTGCAAAGCATTCAGGATTAGAATATATATCATCTTCTCCTTGAGATTGAGACTCTTGTGAAAATGTCCTTGTTTCATCCTTCAAATCAATAGCAAAGTGAATTTGGTTCTCTAATACAATCTTCAAGTCACGACCAAATTTCATCATTTTCTTCTTCACAGACTAGTAAAAAATAGAACAAAAAGTGAATAAGTAACATATAATAAAATAAAACTATGTTAATATTTGACCAAAGTAAAAAAGATTGTAATATCTTATAAAAAATATCTAATTCCTAACAATTATAATCTAATTCCTGACAAAAATATTCTAATTCCTGATAAAAATAAACTAATTCCTGACAAAAATAACCTAATTCCTAACTGACATAATACAAATCCGGACTGAAATAATCTAATTCCTGACTGAAATATTCTAATTCCTGACTGAAATAATCTTATTCCTGACTGATATAATTTAATTCTCGACAAAAATAACTTAATTCCTGACCAAAGTAATCTAATTCCTGACCAAAATTAATCTAATTCCTGACCAAAGTAAAAAAGATTGTAATATATGATAAAAAAGATCTAATTCCTGACAATTATAATCAAATTCTTGGTAAAAATAAACTAATTCCTGACAAAACAATCTAATTCCTAACTGACATAATATAAATCCTGACTGAAATAATCTAATTCCTGACTAAAATATTCTAATTCCTAACTGACATAATATAAATCCTGACTGAAATAATCTAATTCCTGACTAAAATATTCTAATTTCTGACTGAAATATTCTAATTCCTGACAAAAATAATCTAATTTCTGACTGAAATAATCTTATTCTCGACTGATATAATTTAATTCCTGACAAAAATAACTTAATTCCTGACCAAAATAATCTAATTCCTAACTGAAATAATATATTTCTTGACTAAATTAATCTATTATCAAACAAAAAATTTAAAATCTGAGTAATAAACTTAAATTAATCAAAAGAAAAGATTTTAAACTTACATCAATAATATCCATCTTGTCAATTTCATCATCAGTTGGAAAATCTTGAGGAATCCTGTACATAACATATCTAGCTTTTTCATCTTCAACTTTGAAACTAAGGCTAGCAGGCTGTACAGCAGGACCTTCCTTCTTTAAATCCAAATCTTCTTCATCACTCTCTTCAAGCTTAAACTCCATGCTCTCAAGCTGAAAGCTTTTAAAACAACCTCATCACTTTTACCAGCATACTGTTTTGGAACTTCAAAAGTACCATAGTCCATATTTTCTGGAACAACCTTAATCCTTTCATTCAGACTTTCACAAGTCCAATTCATTATAAATGGCTTCCTATCTAAGGTGGTCCCAAAATCAAACTCTTGCAAAAAGGCAATAACAAAAGCAACAAGACAACTATTTATTTGTTTTGATGTAGCTTTCCTTCCCTCATCTGCCTTCCTCTTAAGAGCAAAAGCTTGAAATTCTGATATTGATTCACATAGAGAATCCATCACATAACCAGCCCAGTTGTAAGTCTTTATAAAACGAACATCTTCCAAAGACTTAATAATGTTAAAGTTTGAAGACTTATCACCCATTGGAACCAAAAAATGTGATACAACAAAAAGAACAAAAAGTCTCTTGAATTGATAACCCCCATCTCTATATTTCTGAAACAACTCAAAATAAGTGTTAAAATTGACATGTCTTTTTTTTAGTCTCTCCAGTTTTCCTTTTCTTACTTTCACCAACTTTTTCAGATTCAACAACATTCTAAACCCAAAAATTGCCTCCACTCTGACTTCAAAGCATCATCAGGATTAAATCCTTTCTTAATTTTGGATATTTCTTTCACAGGTTTATCAGTATAAGGAATACCTAACACATCAGCAATATCACAACTATGTATATGAATGGCAAGTTCCTTTTTACCAACAATCAGATTTCTAGCCTTAGGATTATAATGGGTAACTACATAGTTGTATAATTGATGGCTAATGTTATCCTTCAAATTAAGATGCAACAAACCGCCAAAACCAATCTGTATAACTGCCTTCTTTTGCTGCTCACTAAGATCTTCTAGAATTTGACAAAGTTGATTACAAGTAGATTTAGTACCAACTGTTATGTTTGTAATATCATCTTCAGTAATAGCACTGAAAAATTGAAAAGTAAAAGTAACATTAAAATCATAACTTAGAGAGATATTATATAATTCTTGACAAACATATTCTATTATCAAACTAAAATAATCTAATTCCAGACAAGGATAATCTAATTCCTGATAGCAATAATATAATACCTGACAAAATTAATGTAAACCCTGACAAAAATAATCTATTATCAAACAAAAACAATGTAATATCACACAATATGAAGTATATATCATCCGGTGGCGAATCTAGGATTTTTAAATAGTGGGTTCAATCAACATGAAACAAATTATACAAGTATTTATATATTAACAAACTATACATATATACATTATATTGACACGTATGTATAATAATGTGTATTGATATAATACTCATAATTTTCATATTGTCTTTCTCATGTTTTATAATTCAATTATGTTAAATAAATCATTATTAATTCATCTTTTCAATATTTGTAACAAGAATTTTTAAAAGGGTCAATTGACCCCTGTTATGGATTGACCAGACACAACCAATAACAGAGAAGAAAGCTATAGAATGGTAAAATAGAGAAGAAAGAATAAGGCTTTAATTGACATAAATAACGGTTAACACAATCGATAGGTTTAGCCTATCAAGCTCTATAATGAGTTTAGCTCTCAACTCTCTAACGAGTGACTCCAAAATTCTGCCTACCTTCTTCCTTCTACCTTCCCTCTATTTATACTAAAACCTAATAATAATACTAGACTTCCGAAAGTACCCCTCCTAAAGCCAATCTATTAAAACCCCATTACCTTGAACTTAGATCCGCCCCTAATATCACCAAGTGGCATTCTTGCAATATTATTCACTTTTTTATGTTTTTTTTTTAATCAAAATCTCAGATTCCCCGTTACCACTACCATCTTCGTCTTCCCGTTTTCATATCAGCCACCACCACATCATATCAAACACCATCTCTCCGCGTGTCTTTGCGCCGATAAACCACCAACGCATATCCTATTCTTTTTCCCGTTTTCCTCTTCTTGTTCTTCTTACCGTTGAGGTAATGAAAAGACCCTATCAACAAAGAGTGTAAATTAAGGCCATACTAATTGATAATCTAGGGAAATCATCTACTTCACGATGACATCTAATTAATAATCGCTTTGGCTATGAGATTGTGATGGAGAACGGAGGATACAAAAAAAAAAAAAGATGAAATTACAAAGATGTCCCCAACTAAATAATTAAGATGACCAACATACCCTTGATTTACACACAAAGTTTATACTCGTAGAACGTGTTTTCTGTGCGGCCGGCCACTCCGTATGGCCGACTGACACGCACCAAAACACTGACCGGGTAATCCTTGACCTATTAACCCCTGATCGACCGAGTAACCACTGATCGAATAACCTTTGACTCCTCTGACCGATCGAGTAACCCTTGACCAAGTAATCTTTGACCAAATTATTGAAATAACCCATGTCACACGGGCACACGGTACATCTGAAACTTTGTGTAATTATTATTGCTGTGCAGCTCTGCTCTATTGAAATCCGTTGGCACTTCCTCTGGTCAGTTACATGGACTTATTAACTTCTATTTCTTCTTTTCTCAACTCTGATTTTATACTTGTTCATCAACCCACATAAAAGAGCTAACAGTCAACTTTGTTTTACATTTGCAGAGTAATTTCATAAACATATTTCCCAGAAATCCAGATTACAGTGTAAACCCACAAAATCAGTGCAGATTGTTTCGACTCCCACAATAGTTCGGACACCAAATGGGACTCAGCTAAGTTGGCACTATTTTTATCTAAAGATTTGATCCTATTGTTATATAAATCCAATAATCCATGTGGGTATAGAATAAATGTTTTATCGTTATAATCTTGGTGATGTTTGAAGCATGCCCAGATATTCAGTTTTGGAATTTAGCTAGAAAATGGCTGTTGATTTGGTATGCCCACCACCTGTTTGATCTTATTCCTCAGTGAATCTTCATACATTTGCTCAATTGCCATGAAATAATAAATCAACTAATGGTGTTGCTGGAAATCCAGTAAAGGAGTATGTATGATTATGGGGAAATACGTCTACGTTAATATTCGATATTAATCAATCTCAAATACATGAACAATAAAACTTAAATAGATAGTGGTTTTGAGTTTGTTGGTTTTTGTTTATCTGTGATATTCATGAGATTGATCAGTATCGGATATTATCTTAGACTTTCCTCATGTCTCGTATGATCACATCAAGTTATCAACAAGGTGAAGCTTGTTTTTGCTTAAATGTTCTTGTGGTGATCACAGCATCATCATCAGTGCTAAAACTTTTTAAAGGCAAAACTTTTATATAGAGGGAAAAAAGAAGATGTGTAAAGAAGAAGCTCAATTAAAATGCACTAGCTAAGGAATTGAATAAGACTAGTACTAATAAATAAATTAAAAGTAAAGAGAGCATTTTTTATGAGTGGGTTTCATATTCATATTCTTGGCCACCAATAACTCAATTAGTCTTCTAGTGAGTGAGTGCTGCCATATCATATGCCTTTGTGATTTCTTTCTCTCTTTATTAGGGTGACTTTACAGTCTCCTAGATTGGTACATAACACAAACACTTGCCTAATTTAATCTTTTTCATACAAACTTTTGTTTAAATAAAAGATTTCTTGCTTTGATTTTGGTATGATATGTGGGTCCCTTGCACTATCCCATAATCATTTTTTCATCATCATCATCATTCTCTTATAGTCATATTCACTTATTGTTGATCATGGTTGCCTATTTCTGCTTCTGTTTTTTTGGTGAGAGGTTTCAAGAGTCATGGCTGGACCAAGTAAGTTAATCCTTTTTTCTATTACGTTATAATCATATGTTTTGTCTACGTCATTGCCCTTTGTAGCTCGTTGTATACCAACAAATCTATATGTTTCTTCAGAATTTTGTTGTACTTGGGCCTCTGACTCATACTGTAATAGTGGGTTCTGCTTGTTCTGGGAAGATATCAGTGTGTTTATTATAGTGTCTGTCTTTCAATTCATTAAACAGTTGTATTTTATGTAGTCCCCCCAAACTTCAACTAATTGCTATATATAGAAGAAGATATTTATGCACTTTTTCTACTTTGGACAAGTTGCCTTATGCTGATCAAACTGTTATTAAATTGCAGTTCTAGTAGCAGACAAGAATATAGTCTTAACATTTGTTCATAATTCTTTTAGTTTAATATATATCTCATCTATGTATGCTCCTGTTCTATAACTGATAGTGTAGTTCCGCATAATAGCTGTTTGAGTCTTTTGTTGGTGGTATAAATGATTCCACCTTGTACTCTCTGGCCTACTGAACTTGAAGAAACTCTGTTTGATTGTTTTTTCAGACAAACGAGGGAGTTGTAGATTCAATATACATGTCTCTAAGCACATTTTGACAACGATTGTACTTAACTGGTTCTTCTTCGTTTTGCTGCTAAGAAATGGTTCTCCAACTTCAGCTCCTGATATTGAAGGTATGTGTCTACAACTTTTCCTTGTATTTATTCTATGTGCAACTTGGGGATTGAGAATAGTCGTATTATTGGCTTCTTCACTAAACCATTCAAAGAATATTTGGAGCTATCAATTTATTGCTCCATAAGACCAGAAAAATTTGACAATCATTACCGGTAATAATCTTTGGTATTAATCGTTTCCCCACATCAACGAAAAATGCACTTGTTTACTAAGTCTATGCCCCTTGTTTGTCTGAACTTTAGAAACAGTAAGTCAGTAACACATCTTTAAAAAGTTAACTAAAATCCTTTTTCTCAAACCAGCTTTTTTTTGTAAGATTCCATATTGACTGCTTAGTGATCCTTTATATTTCAGTGGTTGACAAGTTGGCAATACAGATCACTATCCTCTTGTATATTGTTATTGCTTATTTAGTTATGTGTCTTCCTATTACTCACCAAATGGAAAAGGTATGCTTAAAGATAGGAGGAATTCATTCTCTATGATATGCTGCTTCAAAATCCTTTGGATACTGTTCATTGTCAATAACTAATTTTACTATAATTAAGTTATTTAGATGAAAAAACTAAGCAAGGTGAATTTTAGTATGGAACATGCTTGTACTTTTTGCAGAATTATAAGAAACTTAAAGCAAGTAGAAAAATGATGGATGCAAGAGAGACATTACCAGGAAACCTCCTAGATATAAGATAGAAGGTGAAAAACCTCGATAGGGGGTTTTGATTTACAAAACTCACTAGGCTAACAACTCTATTACAATTTATAACACTATGTTTGGATAGTGAGATATAGAGGGAAAAAGAAAAGAACAGAAAAGAAGGGATGCATCATCCTTTGTTTGGATAACCAGGGGAGGGAATTGGAAGGATCCATTTTCCTTCCTCTTTTAATAAACCAAATCCCTCAAATTATTGGAGAAATATGGAAGGAAATTGGAAAGTCACCTTCTCCCTCCCCTCATCTCCCTTCCCCTTCCCTCTTTTTCCTTCCCCACCTTTTTCCTTCACTATTTTTATCCAAACGTAGTGTAAGTAACTTGAGCCTTTATTGATTTTCTATATCAACTCATGTTTCCAACAACTACTCCCTCTTATATTTGCAGCTAGCGAAGCTTATCATACACATAGGAACTTACTCATATTCTTGCCTATATTCGTCAAACCCTTACAAATTCTCCCTGACAAGAGTTCACTCGAATCCCTGAACAACTGTCAAATCATAAAATCTAATATGTTTAACAGATGAAACCAGTAAGGAACTTAGGGGGTGTTTGGTTTGGCCTTTTGGAATGGATTGGAATGGAGTAAAATCCATTCCAATGTTTGGTTGAGTTCTTTTTTTGCTATGTATTCTCATACTAATGGTATCTAACTACAGTCCAACCCCCTACAATCTCATACCCACCTCCACCCTTAAGATTCTAATTAAATGCTATCAATATCACACCATACAAGTTTGGCAAAGTATGGGGTTCCCAATCCATACCACCATGGTATGGTTTCCCAATCCATTTCATTCCAATGGCACACCCTAAGATTCTAAATCCATTCCAATATGACACCAAACAAGTTCGGCAAAATATGGGGTTCCCTATCCGTACCACCATGGTATGGGTTCTCGATCCATTCCATTCCAATTTGTTGAACCAAACGACCCATTAGAACCCAAAGGAATTGACTAAAAAAGTGTAGAGTAAAGTTATACGCCTTTGGAGTGAATGAAAATGTTTCTTTTATTGTGCTTCAAAGACAAACACACTTGCCCCATAATTTCTATACACAAGTAGCTAGGCATGATCTCCATGAGCTACATAAATGCAAGCAACAATGCAAGACATGCATTGAAGCAAAAAATAAATCATGATCTCATAACTTTTCTCCATTACAACAATGTATTACAAATTAAATGTGCAAAACTTTTTTGTAAAACCAAAAATAAAGATATTAAAATCCTAAGAGCAACTCAAATGGTTGCTATTGGGGAGTTGCTTGCAATTTTTATAACTTTCATGCTAATAACCAAACTAGTGGAGGGCAATTCAGTAACTAGCTTGGCCAAACAAATTAGCTTGTAAATATATTGTTCCTAATCATAAAATAAATGAATTTAACTTTTTTTTAAAAAGAAATTAAATGAAAACTAGCTAACCGATGAGCAAAACTTAGCTAGAAAAATTATAGATAAATAATATGATGCGGAATTCAAAATAAAAGATAAAAGATAAAATAGCTAACCATAGAAATTGATAATTCAAAATAGATTTGACCTCGTATGATGCACAATTTTTTTATATATCATTTTTGTTATTTGTTGTAATCTTTTAACATATTTTATTCTATGCTAATTTTTTTTTTTTTTTTTTTTTACATAAATTTAACATAAATTAGGTAAAAAAAATCTTAGACTACATAGGTTAACTATCTCATTTAAAATTAAAATAAATTGTGAAAATAATATACCATTCATCGGATATTTAGATGAAACTATTAATATCAAAAGATAATTTTTAATTTTTTAAATAATTTAAATCCTAGTATCAAAAGATAAATTTTATTTTTTTGAATAATTGAAATCCTAATCTCAAAAGATAATTTTATTTTTGTAAATAAATTTAATTTTATCATCAAAATATAATATTTAGTTTATTAAATAATTTAAATGCTAAATCAATTCATTGTTTTTTAAATATTTGACGATTAAATTTGAATTCTTAAATCGCATTTGTTACTTTTTCTTAGGTAACGATTGATAATTCTAAAATAAAACATAATAATACCTTTTCTTATGTGGTGTGTCGAATGCTCTAAAATAATACCTGCTTTATTTATATATATATATATATTTTTTGAATAAAAGATTTTTACCATTCAAAACTAAAAATAGATATTTTGTAAAAAGTCTTATCTTAACATATTAACCCACTATAAATAATTCAAGTAACTACTCGTAAATAAAAAAATAAATAAATAAATAAATAAACCGAAAATAAGCTATCTTTTTTTTTAAAGAAAATTGGATTCCATTCTAAAAAATTATCTTTTATGAAACAAAACCTAAAAAGATAATTACCATTAGTCAAACTAACTCAGTAAACACATATAATTCAATCAATACTAACGTGGAAAATTAACCCGTGTTCCTCTTAGACAAGGAATTCTAAAAAATAACCGTGTTCCATTCTGGAAATAGTTCCTTGTGCTTATTGTAAACCAATTTTCTTGTCCAAATTATTTACTTATAAAAATATATGCTCTCTGTTTTTTAAGTATCTCAATTTGACTTTTGCACTATCTACATATACCATTTTGACCAATATATTAGGCTTTATCCATAAAATTAAATATTTAAGCTTCCTCTTTTTTTATTTAATTGACGCGTTCAATTTTGGTATAAAGAGAGGAGAGAGAATGATAAAGCAAGTGGGGTAGACTAGTTAATGCAAGGTAGAAAACTTACCCAAAAAAGAAACGTGTCAACTAAATATAAACTTCCTAAAAAGGAATACGTGTCAACTAAAAAAAACAGAGGTAAGTATGTATGAGTAATTGTTAGAATTGTCCCTAACTTTTTATAACTTATACGTATTGATAAACTAAAATATTATAATAGCAAATGTACTTCAAACTTTGGCACTTAAATAGCTAGTTATCTGCGTGCTCCTCTTAAAAGCTTCTATTGACCATTGTCAATGTTATTACTCTCAAAATTTGCATATAAATGCTATAATATTTGTACAATTCGCATTATTCGATGTATAGGAATAATTCTCAAATAATGATTTAAAACATACTCAATATTTTTTATGGCAATCGTTCATGCACATCTCAACACACAAGTTAGATAATAATCCCTTATACATAATCATCAAAACTTACCATACGATTGTTTATCTGTTTTTTTTTTTTTTTTTCAAATGCTTGACCAGTATAGATTGTATTGGGATTGATCATCATCAACCATTACACTAATTTTAAAATCATAATGATTATATGATCAGCAAAAGTACATGTTTTTTTTTTTTTTTTTTTTTTCTATAATCATCTCAATTCCTTGTGTTTCAAGTGTTATTTATCATTATCGGTACGACATTATATACTGCAAATTAAATAAAGAGTTGATATTAAAAATTGCTATAATTTTTTTTAATGTTATGTTACTTATTTGTCATATTTTTTAGGTGAAGCTTTGATTGATCTCTTGAAGGTTTTGAATAACTCCAATCATAAGATTACAGATTGGAATGACTTTTATGTAACTCCTTGCTCAGGCTGGTCTCATGTCACTTGCTTGAGTGGACATGTCACATTTTTGTAAGTTTTTAAATACCTTTTATTTAATCGGTAATATAAACCCAAACTTATCGTGTTGTAGCTTTCCATCGGTAACCTATAGAAGTCTGTTTGCTTGATTTTCATGCAGGAGCCTTAGTTCAAATGGATTTTCTGGAACTCTATCCCCTGATATATGTAAACTGAAGTTCTTAGATAGCTTGTAAGGGAATTTTGCTCATTTTATATCTCTATTTACATTCAAATTAATCTACTATTGTCGATCAAATTTATCATTTACACAACTTACACCAATAAAATCATGTCCGTAACCAATATTTATAGTTGAAGAATGAGGTTGAAAGAAATGGTTAGAAGATCCTAGAACTCCCTTCATCATTCTTGTAGCCATAATATTCTAGAATTTTCATGAACCATATCTTCTAGTTACTTTCAATTTCAAGAATGATCCTAGAACTCCCTTCATCATTTTTATAGCCATAATATTCTAGAATTTTTATGAACCATATCTCCTAGTTACTTTCAATTTCAAGAATTCTCTAGAGTGTTATGGCTATAAGTTGGTAGAAAAATCTAGATAAGTCATAAGTAAGTACTAAACTTGCTTGATTTTTCTGTAACCTTCTAGAATACGCACAAATACTCCACCATGACAATAGCCCCAAAAAATATTTGGGCCACACCCAACAAGAGTAATTTAAAAGAGACTTTTATTTTAGAAATAGTGTCAAGATTCTAAATGTGAAGAACAAAAGGAACAGAGGGAGTATTAGACAGTAGCATTTCCACGATTAAATTCATCTTGAATTTAATTCTTAATATACTACGAAGGTTGAGACTTTGAGGACCGACACAACAAAAACTTGTAATGACTTTATCAGATTGGCTATGTGTACTTACTTTGTTCTGTGTTGCTTCCTGGGCCTTGGTTGTATGATGGATTCTGTTTTCTGTTTTCTGTTTTCCCTTAATTACTTATGTTTGGTCCTAACACTTTTATATTTATCCTGTCGACTGCTTTTTCCCAACTGTTTTAACGACAATACAGTGGTTCATGATTGCATGAACGGATGCTGGACATTGTTTCTCATATAATAGCGTTTGCCTCTACAGGGAGTTGCAGGATAATAGCCTGTCAGGTGAATTACCTGGTTGTTTGAGCAGCTTGATGAACTTGCAGACTCTGGATCTCTCCCACAATAGGTTTTCTGGTACTATACCAAGTAGCTGGGCACAGCTCAAGAATCTTAAGCATCTGTAATCCCCGGCTCATTTTTTTAATTATAACTGCTCTTCTTATAGCCTATAAGACAAACTTCCTCACTGTTGGCTTTCTGACAGGGATCTTTCAGAAAATGATTTAAGTGGCACAATCCCATTGCAACTCTATTCAGCTCGAACATTCAAGTAAATACTTAGATGAAATATAGAGAGATGAGTATTTATTTGTTTATTCAATTTGTTAATTCTTTTCAGCAGTTTGACACTAAGAAACTATTGAGTCTGAATTCTGTAGGCAGCTAATTGCTCCCATTTTTAACATCTGTCACTGCCTGAGGAATTCTCTTATTTTTCAAGTTTCTTCTTTCTCCAGTTCTTTCAGGAATTTGTTGTACTTTAAGGCACGTTGCATGGGTGTTATTATTCTAGGTTTGGGCTACTCAGAGCTAAATGCTCTACACCAAGTCACTAACTTCCATTCTATATATTCAGCTTTACAGGAACGAACCTTGAATGTGGTACCAGATTTCAGAAACCTTGTGATTCAGGCTCTTCTCTAAAAGGTATAATCTTGTAAGCAAGCATTCGTTCCCTTATAGTTGCTTGTTTATGCATGTATCTAACGTTAGTATGTATCTCCAGTTGCAACCAGAAAATCAAAAGTTGAACTTGTCATGATTGCTGCTAGCTGTGGTGCATTCTTCCTTTTGTTATTGGGGGCGGCCTTCACATATCGACGACAGCAACATCTTAAATTCAAAAATGAAGTATTTGTAGATGTTGCAGGTATATCACTCTACTTTTCCATATGCTATCATGCATCAATCTGATATTCTTCCATGTATCCTTAGCCGCCTTCATTAATCCAAATCTCTGAATGTATGTTATATGGGCTTAATGACTGGAAAACAATTGTCATTATAAACTTTAGCAGCCTATAAATTTAAGTTCGCCATTCCTTGGTTGATAAGGGCTATGCCTCTTCTGCTTGAATGTAATATTAAGATAATTATCTCTTTCTATAACTTCTAGGTGAAGATGAGGGTAAATTCTCCTTTGGCCAAGTGAAAAGGTTTTCATGGCGCGAGATTCAAATTGCATCCGACAATTTTAATGAAAGTAACATCATTGGCCAAGGAGGCTTTGGGAAGGTTTACAAAGGCAAATTGATGGATAACACTCAGGTGGCTGTGAAACGCCTTACAGACTATCATAATCCAGGTGGAGAGGCTGCATTTCTGAGGGAGGTCCAGTTAATAAGTGTTGCTGTTCATAAGAATCTCTTGCGGTTGATTGGATTTTGTACAACAGCATCGGAGAGAATCCTTGTTTACCCATACATGAAAAATCTCAGTGTTGCTTATCGATTAAGAGGTGGTAATCTTTTTCTGCAAGTACTATGTTCTTTACTGTTTGTTTATTATTTCCGGCTTTACTTTAAAGCTTAAATGAAAATATTTTTTTTTCCTGGTAGACTTGAAGCCCGGTGAGGAAGGCTTAGATTGGCCAAGGAGAAAAAAGATAGCTTTTGGGACAGCTCATGGCCTGGAATATCTGCATGAGCATTGCAATCCTAAGATCATTCACCGTGACCTCAAGGCTGCAAATATTCTTTTAGATGATAATTTTGAAGCCGTACTTGGGGATTTTGGGCTTGCTAAATTAGTGGATGCAAAACTAACTCATGTTACTACTCAAGTACGAGGAACTATGGGTCACATTGCTCCTGAATATCTATCCACCGGGAAATCCTCAGAAAAGACCGATGTATTTGGATATGGTATAACCCTTTTAGAACTCATGACAGGCCAGCGTGCCATAGACTTATCCCGCCTTGAAGAAGAAGAAGATGTGATATTGGTTGATCATGTAAGTTCTTTTCCTTGTTTACTTTTTGGGAACACTCTGATCCCAGATATGATCATTGCCAATGACGATGGGTTGACAGCTTTCTGTTAAATTTTTTTTCTTGCCCTTGTCTGAATTCCATAGCTGTATTTCTTTTCTTAAACAATAAATGTTCAGTCTATAACTCGTAATTGGTTTGGTCAAATGCTCTTTAGATCAAGAAGTTATTAAGGGAAAAGAGGCTCCATGATATAGTGGACAGCAACTTGACAGCCTATGATCCTAATGAAGTTGAAAGGATAGTCAAGGTAGCATTGCTCTGCACTCAAAATGCACCAGAGGATCGTCCGAGGATGGCAGAAGTGGTGAAGATGTTGCAAGGAGTAGGCTTAGATGAGAGGTGGGCCGAGTGGGAGATGCTTGAAGAAGTGAGAAGTCAAGAGTTGCAGTTAACTCTCATGAAGCATCGGCTTGCTTGGATGGGCGAGTCGATGGATGAGCAGGAAGCCATGCAATTATCAGCAGCAAGATAAATATAAGCCCTTGAAATTTCCTGTTGCAGGATTTATAATGATTTTCCAAACTGTATTTTCCTTGATCTTTTTACCACTGAGAAATGCTTAACTAGGCAATAGTACATAGCCATGCTTAATACGTAGTTTTTAGTGTGTAGTGTATGAAATATGCATATAGAAATAGAAACTATAAGTGTGCCATACTACTACTATATGAGTGAAACTTTCACAATTATAGGATAACTAATTATATTGTATTTTGTACAGTATTATTATTCTAAGTTTGTATGAACAATGTATCTTCTTGATACTTTGTAAGAGTTTTCTAGATTGTATGTGGCATGCGTATCTGGATTTTTTTTTCTCTCTTTTGGTGCAAATATTATTTGTCTGAGATCAACTAAATATGTGCTAGCTATTAAAGTCGACTTAATCAGACTTTTTACAAACATTAAAAATGAAACTTAATACACACTGCGGGTTAAAGGGTGTTATTGTAAATCCCAACAAATTATTCAAGTTAAGAATTTTTAAACAAAAACCATTATTAATTTAATACATATGGCAACGTTTTTGGACATTTGAATTTAATATAAATTCTTCATTATATCACTTTAGTTCCTAAGAAATTGAAATCTTAACAACATATTTAGTTAGGGTTAGGGTTTCGTGGGTCCTTGCGCTGGAGGCTAGGCCTAATGTCGCCGTCAAGAGTGTTTCGTGACGGAAACGGTGAAGTTAGGGTTAGGGTTTTGAGGTTCTTTGCTTTTATGGTTTCGGATTTAAGGTCCGAATGGGGCTCTCTGATTTGGTTGTTGATTTTAAGTATGTACATTTTTATTGCTATTCAGAGTTTGCTTTATTTTTTAAAGTCATGTATGGTTTATTAGAGTCTTTCTTGGTTGTTGTCCTGGTTTTCTGGTTGTTTTGGCTATAGTTTATTGGATGGTTGTGTGAGAAGGGAGTTTGGATACCTTGTCAAGGGATTTGGTGTTGTTGTGTTGAGAGAGGTAACTTGGGTTACCGTTGTATGGGGGACGAATGAGAAGTTGGTCATGGCTAGAGTGTGGTGTGTTTTATGGTGGAATGATCATGGTTGTCATTCTGCTCTTTTCATTGGAGTGATCATTGTGATCATTACTCTTGATGTTTTCTATCCGAAGCAGGCGCCCAAACTTTGTTTTGGGGTTTCACGAGTCTTGGCGTTGTTAAAGCTTTCTTGCAAACAAGAACAGGTTAGGAATGATAGGTCACATGTCCATGTGATCGATTTGAAGACCTTACGTGGTGATAAGTTGATCCCACTAGGTTTAGTTAAACTAGCCATGATCAAACAGTTTCGATACTCTGTGCTCTTGTTGGGTTTTGAAGTAGGTATCCGCTCTTTGGCCTATAAAGAGGTCTTGAATTGCAACTTTTCCGGCCAACTCCAGTTATATTACTTGGTTTTTAGTGTTGAAAGTTAGAATGGCTTAAATGTTAAAAGCCATATACTAAGGTTTAAGTTTTATTTCGTATATTGTAAACTCTGATTTTATTAATATCATTTGCTTTTGTAAAAAAAAAAAAAAAAAAAAAAAAAAAAAAAAAAAAAAAAAAAAAAAAAAACATATTTAGTTATGCTAGTGCTGTCTCCACCACAAATTCTCTATTTTGTTGGTTAGTTTAAAAAACAGTTTACATGCATGCATCTACTTTTACATTTACAAAATGAAAAAGAGAGAGAGAGAGAGAGAGTGAAATTATTGAAGAAAGAGGTGCATAAAAGATTGAAAGCTACTTCTTGGGAGCAAGTAAATTATAAAGATCAACTAGCAATTTGAGTAGATTCTTTGGTTAATTTATTGTTTGGGCATTAATAAAAGGATCATGCCCAAAGTAAAATAGATTCTTCAAAGATTTATTATGGGTAAAGTTATATTTAAGAGATTTATTCTTCAAAGATATACAAGTAGTGGAGGATAAGAACAAAGAAACTAGAGCTTATAACTAATTTGTAATCCAAATTAGGTGGATTTTAAATCCGATTTAAGGGATTAACATTGAAAAATCAATGGTGTAGGATTAAAATTGGTTAAAGATACATCTCGTTTACTTCAATATTCTTTACGACTATGTTACAGGTGCCCTCTGTATCTAGCCTCTAACTCGATCTCTTCAAAATAATGCAATGTTGTGACTATTTGGCGACCAAGCTTGTGGATGTCTTGTATCGTCCAATGGACTGAAATTTGTGTTTCTTGACCTCCCCTAAGCAATGGAACAAGTTGTTTTGAGTCAAGTACCATATAATTTAAAGCTCACATAAACCAAAGAAAGAAATTTTATATGTAATTAAAAGATGAGACAAGTAGACAACTTCACAACTATATCATTATTCCTGTATATTAAGTTATATAGCCAGCTTCTAGATAGAAATATACTACAAGTTCATTTCTTCAATAGTATAAAATTTGTAACAAATAAAACCACTACTTTATCAAATATATTTTTATAGCTAGGGTGTCTATCTAATAACTAAGGTGAATGAATATTTTCCGATGAGCAAATAGAGTAGTTGATTATCTGACAATCACTCATCCATTAAATTTACAATCGTATGCAAATTGGTAGAAGAAAATATTATACCTCGTATATAAGTTAGGTTAACACATACAGACTTAAAGAAACGTAAAATTAATCTAATGTATTGTTATAATTAATCACAAACAAACCTTCTTCATTAAGAATAAAGATTGAAACTTTGAAGATAAAGTAGTAATCTTTTCAAAAATCAGAATGTGAATGTAGAAATTATTCAAGTAGCACTGGAGAAACTAATTTTGTTGCATGGACCACCAACGATAGCTCACTTAATAACAGTATTCAACATTCAAAGTTGGAATTTTTTATCCATGAATTAACAAAATGGTCTCATATTCTAGAAAAACCAAGGACCATATCATGAACAGACAAAAAATCTGAAGACCATTGAATTTCTATTGAAAAGAAATTGTCATGCATGTCAAGGATAATGTTATTTTTCATGCCTCCTTGGTATTGATTTCTCATTAATCTTACTTTCTGATGTTTTTTTGTCTAATTTTAAAAACCTTGAGATCACTAGTTTAAGGAATCTATGTGAAAATATGAATAGTATAGTATATGAAATTAGTATTAACACAAGGGTAATAATATATGAAGCGTTAAAAACTCAACAAACAAGCATTAAACTGCATTCTTCATTTGACATTAGTTTACAAATACATGATAAAATCACGTTTAAATAAATCAGTATCCAAAGTATCTTTAAAATTGAAATTACTAATACTGTAATACATATTTTCCATTGCTATAATGCTTGAGATTTTCACCAAAATATTGCTAATTAAAGGAGAAAAGTTACAAAGTACTAGCTTAAGAGTCGAGACTAGTCAACATAGTAAGGATTGCTTTTTTTGATCCTTAATTAGAATAGGATGCTGACCACACATATTATTAATTAAAGAAGGGTAATGCTATATATAGTTCTTAGGGTTATATATAAGCATTAAAAACACTTTTAAAAATTGTATAAAATTAGTAATTTATGACAAAACCACACGTAGATCAGTGTAATTAGAGTATTTTTGTCATGATTTTCTAAATTTAAACAATTTTCAATAGTGTTTTTAATGCTTATATGTAGCCCTAAGGGCTATCTATATTTAAACAACTTTGTTTCTACTTAATTAGCTCCACATTAATTTAATTAATTATTAAGTATAAACGTGACATATAAATATATACTAATATATATTTTCTAGCTTTATTTTCATCCAAAATCAAAAACAAAAAAACTACTTAATGTAGTCAAGTGTACGTTGGAAATATAACTACCGTTAAAAACCTATTCTTATCCATTCAGAAATTAGAAGTATTAGAAGTTGGGTCTTATACAGTGAACCTAAGAATATAATTAGTCATTTATGAATTGTCATTGTCATAAAGTTGTAGTTAGTTGGAAGCTAAACGCATATAGTAAACACATATTGTAGTCAGTACTATAATTTTTAGGAAAATTTGCGATCAAGATCTTTTTAAGTGGTCGGCCTTGTGAAGAAGGTTCTTTTATGAACAAGGTGGCACAAAAGGTCCTTTTATGGCGATTGGGATGTGAGGAGGGTCCTTTGACCAAACTCCGGCGTTGACCTACATTTTCCAGCCAAAAAAAGTCACGTGACCACTTAAACCAGCTTTTTATTTTTATTTTTTTCTTTTCTTTCCTCTTCATCTTCTTCCTCCCTTTCAATTCCACACCTCCATGAATGGCATTTCCGACCAGACCTCCGCCCACCACACCTCCACCTCCGGCAACAAGGAACCCATCCTTTTCCCCTTTGAGTGTATTTGAAAGGGATAAAGAGTAGGGGAAAGGGATGGGGTTCCTTGTTGCCGGAGGTGGAGGTGTGGTGGGCAGAGGTCAGAGGAAAGAAAAAGAAAAAAAAAGGCTAATTTAAGTGGTCACGTGACTTTTTTTGGCCAGAAAATGTAGGTCAACACCAGAGTTTGGTCAAAGGACCCTTCTCACAACCCAATCGCCATAAAAAGGCCTTTTGTGTCACCTTTTTCATAAAAAGACCTTCCTTACAAGGTCGACCACTTAAAAAGACCCTCCTCACAAATTTTCGTAATTTTTAATGTCAAATTCAAGCACATGCCATAAAGTTTGGACCACTTACTTAGTGTTAGTGTTACACTTGGTGCTGATGCAAACGTATATATTTTCATTTTTATACGTGTAAAAATTATAAAAATTTGATATTAATAAGTTATGCAATGAAACAATTCTAACAAAGATCCTATATGAATATATTATCACTTATAGATTAACAAGAATTCATGGTCAAAGTTTTAAAAGTTTGACCTATATTTTTACAATGGGGCAAAAATTAAGTGACGGAGGAGTAAAATGACATTTTGTATAAAATCATCAAACCTTTGTAAAACTACTTTTATGTGCTATCTTAATTTCTCTTTACCCGTAGGCCGTAGCTCAACCCACTTAAAAAGTGGCCATATAATAGTTTGGCAGTCTTATTAAAAAAAAATTGTACAATGACAACTAAGCTACTCAATAACATACCTTAATTGTATTTCTTGATAATTAAGAGAAGTATTATGGATACCTTTGAAAGATTATACGAGTATTCTAATTGTCTTCATCTTTACAATTGGGGTGTATATATGTGATTTGAACTCGCGACCTTTTTGTCACGCTGGCTTTGTTATAATATTATCAATTCAACACCTGATTTCTGTACGGACCTAAAATAAACCATAGAGATCAATAGATAAATTTCTGTACAGACCTACAATAAACCACGGACATCAATCCTGATTCCTTCACTCCTAATTATAAACAAAATCATAATAAAGAGTATTATTAACAGGATTTTATACACTAATTAATTATATGTGACATCACCTCTCTAATTACATATGACGTCCCATAATGTCCCAAACAAAACAAGTGGGTCCTGTGGGTGCACCACTCTCTTTAGCTATAAGTTGCCTTAGCAATATTAAATCAAAAGCTATTAACACCCTTGGCCTTTTCAAAGAAAGAGAGAAAAAACTACAAGCTTAACTTATTAACTTAGTAAAATCACACTCTAAATATGAGCTCCGATAAAACTTCATCAAGCTCAAGTGGAGGAAATGGTGGCTGCAACAACCCAAGGCCAGGTGGTACTCCCTTCTCCAATCTCCCTCAGCCACGTGGCAAGACCAAGAACAGCATCATTATGGGTGCTCTTGGAGTAAGCAAGTAGCTAGATAGTTTTTTCCATGGAATTTGAATAACTTATAATGTTATGTATGTTATCTAGATGTTTAACAATCTAGCTAGCCAGCTAGGTTGTCGTCTAGGTAGAAGCCAAGAGTATCTTGAAAAGCAGAGTTCGAATCTCATCTATATATTCGTCTCGTGTGATTATTATGTGGTGTTGTGTGCAAGAAATGAGATTGAATTCGTCTGTCACTGTCTCTTGTAATTATCTTTAGTCAAAAAATATGGTATGTACTATCTAGCCAGTTTTTGCTTTGTTTACTTCATGTTTAACTTAATTACGTGCAATAATAAGATTTGTAGTATCTGGGAGATGATTGGTCAATGGTAGTTATTTGTAATTGGATAAAGAAATTACCAATTATTTTTTACCTATAAATCATGTCACGTGATAAACACTACTTTGGACTTTGGAGCATTAGTAGTAGTTTGTTCTAGAGCTAATTAACTTCCTTCTCCTGTTTTTTTTTTTTTTTTTTTTTTTTTTTTTATGAACAATGAGTTAATATAATGCATTTGATTTTGTTGTCTAATGAAAATCGAAGCAATCAAATGCTATCGCATAAATGCATATAAATTTACGGTATACTCTGCACTATGTACCATCAACTTGAATGTTTTCTTCCTCAAAAAAAAAAAAAAAAAAAAAAAAAAAAACTTGAATGTTTTCTGTCAACTTATTAAGAATGAGTAGCTATCTAAATCGTTGTTTTTATTTATCTTTTAATTCTTCGTGATATTTTGAATTAGGGTCGAACAACCCCCAATAGATCTCATCAAATTAAATCGATGAGTGATAATAATGCCTTTGAAGAAAGAAGCCAAAACTAAAACATAATTAAAAGGAGACAACATAAAAGCAAATAGTTAGTTTTATACACTTTAATACTTCTTATGAATTTTCTAACCTTTGCACCCCATCCATAGGATAAGGGTTAATGCAATTAGGGATAATGTGCCCTACCCTAAATAAAGGACAGACAAAACGTATAGTATAATAATAGGGGGAAAATTTAAGATAAATTAATTTCTGTTTGAGAATCTCCTAAAGTAAGTGCTAAGTAGGTGTGAGGATGCTAATATAATTTGCTAAAGTAGGGACAGATAAAACGTGCTATATAATTTGCTAAAATAATTGTGTAATAATGATTGTTTATCCTATGCACTAGTGCAGAATTTAGAAAATTACATCCTTTGATTACAAGTGTCTATCTACATTTGCTACAAATCGACTCCCTCTGTTTCCAATTATTTGCTCCACTAGTCTTTTTTAGGTGTTCTTAAAATATTGTCCTATACTACTTTTGGCATATTTTTCCACTTGCACTCTCTCTATCTCTCTCCTCATTGATATTTGTGTCAACCCATGTGCACCATTTTTGGCCCAAACCTTAATAAAGTGATTTTATTAGTTTGGGGCAAAAAATTGGGGACGGAGGGGGTAGTTTCTACAATATTTTTTTAAGAAAAAAAAAATTGGACAAAACAGTACACAAGAAAACAAATTACACAGCCACTAAGGGTCACACAATGACACAAACACACTCCCTAAAATACTTAATAACTTAAACATAATAATACATAATGAATAAGATAAGTTGTATGGAGTATTTTTTTACGAGAAGACTTTCTTAACTTTATACCAATGATAAGAAGGAGAATTACAATACATGTCGATCCTTTTCCGATCAACTATTAAAGGAAAAGGTCGGGACGTCTTGTGTCGACTCAAACTTCTCTTTGTTCTAATCCATTGAAATCGACACTTGTTGTTGGCCATTAGGGTAAAACAACTTCATAATAAAATTTACCTACGTTGATGAATGATAAAGAAATATTTTTACAAGGAGACAATAACATTGATAAATTAATCAATGAATATTGTTAAGACAAATGAATATTGGAACTTGTCCACTTGAGTCAAAACAACTCCAGTCTTGTCATGACAACAAAATTAATTGGTACAATGTTGAGACAAATGAATATTGTTTGCGTTTAAGATTGATTGTTTTGGGAGGTTCTCTTTGAATTTTCATTGTATTTTTGAGATTCATTTTTCTATTACTTTATCAACGTACAACCACTATAATTTTATAAGATAATTTTGTTAGAAATATTAATGATTAAAGTTGTGTATTATCACGCATGAAGATTTTAGTAATTGTATTGTAATCTATTTTGAATAGACAAAGAGGTTAAACACATGCTCGTTATAAATTTCTGGCCCACAAATTGTTCATTGGCTAGGCAAATCAAGAGATAATATATGCCTTTAACTATTCATATATCTTTGTCCCTCAAAAAAAAATCTATGTCAAAATCAATATCAATCTTCATGCATCAATCATACACTAAATTTCACAATGATCAATCAATACATTTCATCAAATAAAAGATGAAAATAGTATAATCGTATTACTATATTACTATCCTTCTAATAAAATCTATCAAAGAAATTTTTTTTTTTTTTTTTTTGGTGGAACCTTTTTGTATCGTAAGTTCTTAACTAAAAACTAACTAATTCAAATAAAGTGAAAAAGAGACCAAAGAGCCGATTAGAGATTAGACCCACAGTTAAAACTCACTAGCTTCTGCCGGCCACTAAATTATTTTATAAGGAAATGGATTTTGACGTTCAATAGTTTATCTTCACAAGAAGTTCTCATGTTTTTACTCAAAAAAAAATATTTGCAAACTGCATTACACTAAGCAAGGAAAGCGAAAATAAGCAGAGGAAGTATTTACTCTTATATATTGACTATTGTACTCATGTTTTTTTTCTATATATACTTGTGCCAAAAAAAAAAAAAAAAATAAGGTGGATCTTACGCAAAATATAAGGTGTTCTTTTGGTATAAGGTGTTAGAACTAAAAAAAGAGCTTTCAAAATACAAAGGAGAAAAACAAAGGACTGCTAATGAAGATTAGTCGTCGATGAGGACAATTTCTAGCCTTCATTAGCACCAAAAGGATAGTAGGATACGAGGGATGAGAATCATGGAGCAACAATGAAATGAATGCAACTTGGTTAGGATTTATTTTTTGCTTTACATTAAGTGTTTCAAATTAGGGTTACATACTTACATTGTGAAAATCATCTCCCACCAACCTTCTTAGTGGGATTAGATTCAGAGCTATGGTTAATTAATCTGGGTCTACTTGGGCAAAAAATAACGATGCCTAACGCATACTCTCTCTCTCTCTCTCTCTCTCTCTCTCTCTCTCTCTCTCTCTCTCTCTCTCTCTCTCTCTCAATTATCCCCCTCGCCTTCTTCTAAAAAGTTGAAGGACAAAGGCCAGCCTGCATGAGGACTAATGCCTATACTAATGTACAATTTAACTAGGGCGCCAACTATTGGCTAACAATAGAATCTTTGCTTGCCTGAATCATCTGCCGCGTGTACACGCACTTGTATGTGGATTGGTTCTTATCTGATCCATCCATCACTGTCTTACAGTCTTTGCTTGCTTGAACCCTCCGCCGCTTGTACACACACTTGAATGTGGTCTGGTTCTTGTCTGATACATCCATTTCTGTTTTCTCTTTTCCAGAAGCTTCTGGTATCCCTCTTCGCTTGTACTGTATATTGAACCTATCTTTTGGGTGAATTACCTGCAGCAAGAAAGGAAAAGGATGCATTTTAAGGCCATACAAGAACATGAAGAAGTTTATTTGCCATGGGGCTTAAGAGATGGACAAAATTCTAGATAAGAGATGGTTAAAACAGGTCTCTCAGTCCAACAACATATACAGAATAACAATGACAGATCCTACAAAAAGGGGGGGGGGGGTGGGGGGGGGGGGGTGGGGGGTGGGGTGTGGAATTGGAAATTTTGGTGTCTTAAGGAGAGAGTATTTTGCTGAGTTGAAAATACCAGCACCTGCATCACTCTCCCTCCTTGACATATTCGGCATCTGTTTGGTTTCTAAAGGAGAGAATAATACTGTTGGTGTTGATCCCTTTCTTTAGAAATATTGGGCTTTGCAGCCAATGAGCAAGTGAAACTCCCAAAAGGGTGACTGTTCCAACTTTCCTCCATCCCCCCCCCCCCTTCTTTCATTTATTTCTGTATAAGAAAACCATAAAGGTAGAAATTAATTTCTGCTTAGGCAGCCAGGGCTTTCTAAAATTACTCTATCAGAGAAATACAAAGAGATTGGCTAACTTCTAGCTCCAAGTTTCTGTCTTTTCATAAGGAGCTGACTAGCTGAGGACACCTTGTGCTTCTTGATTTACATCTACATCTACAGGTGCAGTGCTAATAAAATATCTTCATTTACGCAAAACTGAAGTTTAATACAGCTGAAATAACTTATCCAGAGAAGGAAATAACTAAATTCAAAATGCTTTCATTCAAAACAGTAACAGCAGTGTTCTCCCTAGAAGGTGTGTATGAGACATGGCTTCTAAATTGAAGTCTTAAAAAAATTATCAGAGTGCAAGTGAAATGAAATATTTTAGATCTAAGCTACATAATTTTTGAAGAAAAATTCAAGTTCTAAGCCCCATCTCAAGCTAACGAACACTTTTGTTGGAGGAACCTAAGTTCTTGATCACACTTAGGGGGCGTTTGGTTCGGATAATGGAAACGGAATGGAAAGGATAAAAAAATAAGAGGGGGGAAAGGAATCATCTAGCTATTACCTTTTCATTTGTTTGGTTTGACCACGGAGAGAAATCAGTTAAACTCTACTCCCTTTGATTGTGTTTGAGGAGGGTAAGGGTATTTGTTACCCTAAAGTTTTTGAGAGGTAACAAATGAGAGGTAACCATTACCCTTAGGTAATGGTAATCGTTATCAAGCCTTCTAACCAAACACTCGGTAACGGTATCGGTTTAATCGCATCCGTTTCCAATCCAAAAAATACACTAACCAAACATGCTCTTAAATGTGGACGGGGCAGTCATGCCATTAATATACCAAGAGAGGTAGATCAATTCTAAATTTCTAAAACAAATTAATAACAAGATATTTAAATAATTACTCCTAAAATTGTAACAAGTCACCTTGGTCTCACAAAAAATTATTTAGAGGATTGTTTCATACAACATATTTCCAAAAAAAAAAAAAAGTAAAAAGAAAAAAAGAAGAAAAAAAAAGATTAGCAGTCTAAAAATGTAATTCATTAACAGAGCCCCTTGGGGCTTGAAAGAGAGGGGGGGGGTGGAAGAGGAGATATAATTCCTGTTTTGCTTGAATGACTCTCCTTTAGTTATATAATCACATGATAACCATGAGAAATAGATAAATAAAGCTAGAGAGTTATCACAAGAAAAAGATGTATTTCCAGAGTTTGAGGAAGAACCTGTTCGGGTCCAGTCCTTTCCAGCTTTCTTGTTGCTTCCAAAGAATCTACACAGTACATACCAAACGAAGACAAGCTCAATTTCAAATGACAGAAAAAAATCCATGTAATATATTTGAACTAAGTTGGAATATAATATATGAAGATGCGCCACATATGATTGTCATGTCAATTTTCAGCTTAGGAAATATAGTGTTTGGTAAATTAATATTTTAGTGTTTTGAAGTGAAGATAATAGATAAATATAGAGTTCTCATACCAAGTAAATTAATATAGAGGTTATCATATGTAAATTAAGCCTAAAATTTTACACATAATCCGAAAATATATAGTCTTCATAGGCTCATACCAAGTAAGATACATGTATCATTCAAGTTTTTTTTTTTTTTTTTTTTTTTTTTTAAATTTTAAATCTTCATTATTTTACCTTGTGTATAGCACGAGTTTAAAACTAGTAGAGGATAAAGTGTCAAATATGATAGCAATGAAAAGCTAATGACAAAGTTGAAACATCTGACGACTTCAACTGCATTAAATCATTAATGCAATATGCTATTTGCTATGCCTTTTATTTTCAGCTAACTACTTACCTAATGGAGCCGAGCTTCTGGGAATTTTCTGAAACATAGTAGTTCCCTTAAAAAGAACAAATGGATAACCCAACAATTCTCTCCTTAAAAGTGCTGGCATCTCTGCAAAACCAAATGACGAAACCCAGGTATCACTCAGCTGAGCTATAGCTGGCAAGACCAATCTTTCAACACCCATTTCAACAAGCATCTGCAAAACAAGAGAAAGGTACTTGCATTGAACACTACATAAATTCACAAGTAATAGAAAATTAACTGATTGACACAAAAAAAACAAGAGCCACAATGATTGAGAGTAGTACTAGGGGAAGTCCTCATGTTGGTTCATGTAGCCTACCCCACTTATGGGATTAAGGCGTTCAAGCAGAAGAAGAAGAGACACAAAAAATAACAAGAGCACCAAAATTAAAAAGAAACCCAAGCCAAAGCCAAATGTCTCAAATAAGTACTCTGTAATTATTTAACCGTTAACACATTATGTAATTACTCTGTAGCAGTAAGAAAAACAATATTGTTGATAGAAACTACCTTCTCCAACTCTTCCACAAGAAGCCGGCACATACCCTTTCGACGATACTTGAAAGGTGTAGCTACAAGTGGCATCTCTGCCACTTTCTGACCATGAATTCTGAAAGCAAAACAAAGTACCAAATTCAAAATGAATGGTCGGTCATTTTATTACATATTCAGAACATAAAGACACTTAGCAATCCAAATGGGTTACCTGATAGTAGCAACACAAACAAGCTCCTCGCCATTAACCAAAGCTATTACATAAAACCCATGGAAATCCAGTCTCCTGAATTTTGACCTATCAAGAAGAAAAGTCATCAAAAAGTGAGTATATGTTCCACAGGAATCGAGAGATGTCCACATTTCGACTAAACAGACCAGGCACAAGACCTCAAAATGCTCAACCTTAAATTTCCCAATTTAAGCAATGCAGTTTAGCAATATAGCGTCATAGTGCCATCACCCACCACTGATAATACTATTGGGTCCTGCTAACCATAAAACAATATCCTCAATGTACGTGATATCCTTAACCACTAAACTTCCTATCATGCCAATTTATACATACTGTTCTATTTGGCAGTTACCTGAACAATATTATGCAAACCTAAGACAGAATAGCACAGCCAACTTTATAGATAATATGTGATCCCACAGGAAAAGTGCATCGATGATAAGAAAAAGAAGACCAAAAGAAACCCAGAAAAGTTGAGAGTTTCATAAATTTTTGCAGCACAATTCATGTATATCATCAGTGTGAAGGATTGGCTTAAGCACATTCATCAGATAAAAACAGTTTAAATGCAACAGCCTTGAACCTTGCTGTCAGTCCATGTTTTGGTATCCTGGTACTGGTTATCAATCTTGATAGAAAACTAAAGACCAACCAAAATATAGCACAAAAAAAAAAATTACTAAAATAAATAAATAAATAAATAAATAAATAAATAAAATCCTTGCTTTAACAGCTCTTACCAAACAATCATGTAAGAGAAAAACATTAGGTGCATGTTAAAAGATTTAACTATCCTTTTTTTTTTTTTTTTTTTTTTTAACAACGGTCCAAAAAGAGGCTAGCTCCCAACTCAAGACTACAAGTAAAACAAGGAGGAGTTTAGCTCTCTTAACCATACTAACACAAGAATTATAACAGGGGGAACAACTTTCATGACTTGCTATGGGATACAAATATGGGAATTGACAAGTTCCATCGTAGACTCTAGCCATAAGATGATCAGAGTTTGTTCCATATCGCTTCTTGGACCTGCAAAAACAATACCTGGAATAAAGATTACCTTTCTTGATCTTCCCCCTTGGCCTACTATGTTTCCTTGTCGTGGCAGAGAACTCGAAGGTAGTAGGTGTTGGGATGGACTGCACCTAGTCGGGTTCAAAAGCCATGGGATCATCTTCATTGGATCCAACAAATTCCACTTCAACAAGGTCAGTGGTAGGATACTGGACCTTCACTCCCATTCTCGATGGTTAAACCTTCATCGCTGTTATGAGTTAGGTCTGAAGACATAGGCTCGTCTAACTTCTCAACAACAGTAGTGTAGGTTTTCCAAACCCAACAACATGGTTGACCAATTCTGGACCAGAAGGGGGCATAACCTTTTTCTTTTTGGACTTCTTGTCGTGTCTCCTCCTACATGGACTCATCTTCTTAATAGGCATGGACAAGGAATTTGGACCTTTGGAATCCGTATCCTTGTAAATTTCTGAATGCCTATCTTAAGTAGTTTTTTCCTTCATTCGTACAGTCATCCACGAACCAGCAGATTGGTTGAAGAAACTCAAAGCCCTCCCTTGCTTAAGATTCGAATAAGACAAGGAAGAAATCTTAAGGGACTTGTTTCTTTTCATTCCATTAGAGAAACAATGGATTATTTCAGGATCCATGACTTGTCTTGATTCTTGATCGTTTAAGGGGCAGGTTGATCCAAGTTCCTCATTTTCCAAAGGAGCATACACATTGTGGGTATGGATGGGGCTCTCTACCTCCATCTTACTATCATGACATGTAGAGGACAGGCTAGTAACATCACTCCTCCAGTCATTGCTACGAGAAACTGGGCTAATAGTTGACTCTGATTTTCCAATTTTTGTTGTAGTTACACTAAGTCATGACAAAATTTTCAGCACCCCTCTTACCAACGAGCTTGCTTGCCTCATAACTTAGGCCCTTCACTTTATCCGGTTCACGGAGGATATCCTGATTTTTAGGCTCTGACCTAGCTACCTTGCCAAGGTCCTCATAAGCCTCTTTCAGAGGGATTTCTGCTAAAGCCCTTCTGTAAAGAGCTTTAGCATTGCTACCATCAAAATCAATGACTAAGGAGCAAAATTCCTTAGTTTGTTCATAATCATGAACCTTTAAGGCACAAGCTACGAAATTCAATTCCAAAGCAATATCAAGACTCCATAGCATAGCACAATCTTCCTTATTCCTTGGTAAACCAAAGCACAAAACTTCACTATACTTAGCCTGAGCACAAATAAACTCACCACGTTTATAGCACAAGTTACCCTCGTCCTTCAAACTCTTAGCTTGATTAAAGATATTTCGAGGGCAATTATTTGTAGCAAAGTTCACAATACTTTCATCATATTCGTCATTCAAGTGAGTAAACATAAGGGCGTTAAGTAAAGGCTGACAATCCATAATACACCAAAGACAAGGCTTTAAAAAAACCCACAAGAAGAGGCAAAAGCATAGTAGTAGGAGGAAAAGTATCCTTCTTAAGTTTTTTTTTTTATTTTTTTTACTTTTTTTTTTGGGTTAAAAGAAACTAAGAAAGCAGTAGAACAAGGAGAACTCAAGCAATCCCGAAAGGGGAAAACCACCACCGGCGAAAGGACTAGAAAGAAACTATCGCGATCTACCGCTTAGGGCAGTAAGAAGTAAAGGTCGCGGCTACTGGGGGTGGGAAGCAGCAAGGTAGTGCTCGATGCACCAGAACCACGAGAATCGTCCGCGAAATAGAGAGGGAACAGCTGGGTGCGGCAAGATAGTGGTTGGCGCCTTGGTGGGGCTTGACTGGAGAGGGAGTCGTCGGCAATCGAGGAGCAAACCAACCACACTAATCGCCGGCGACCCGTCGGATTCTGCGATTGGGGAAGACTGGTATATTAAACTAGGGGCTCGTTTTGGTGGTTTTGGGATTCCCAAAAAAGGCACGTGGTGGGGCGTGTTCTTTATGGGGCATGACTTTTTCTAATCTGTCGTGCAAAATATAGATTTAACTATTCAAGACATGAGGTTAAACAAAATATGAGCAGTTCTTAGCATTTTTGGTAACAGAGATTAATAACACATCCATCATGAGAAAAAAGACAAGATCAACTTTGTACAGATTGTCATCAGTAGACAGTTTGAGCTCTGGATGAACAGGTACAATGAAGCCAGACTATTCAGTATCTGCATCCGTAATCATTGTCCAGTAAGTTGCATTAGGAAGATCGATTATCTAGTATTTTGGTATATGATTTCAAGTGTTAAATAATGGAAATTTCAATTGACAAGAATGAAAACAAGTTTAACTACAGAGGACAAAGAGTCATCTTAAAACAAGGAAAATAATGGCCTAGCCACACTCAACATCAAGCAAAAAAAAAAAAAAAAAAAAAAAAGGTTCTGAAAATACCCCCATTGAGAAGAACCAACAGAAAGAAAGCTAAAGTACTCTTTCAATTTCAGACAGACACACACAATTAAAAGGAAAGACACCAATGGATAATTTGTGGATATAGCTTCCCATCATCAAGATTTTTGGTTCCTACTTATAGGCTTCTGTATAGCTGGAGTCAAGCATTAAGTTTTAGGCGATTCTTCTGTCACAATTTTCTAGTTGAATTGCTTCAGGACAGCTCAAAGCCATGAGGGTTCTTTTTCCTTGGACCTCTTTTTGTATTTGGGTGACAACACCCTGGTGTCTATCTCGTATATTTCTTTATCATTTATCAAATAATCCCTTTGTTTCTTTTTTATGGTCTTAATTTGACTATGCACGTTTGCCAGTGCATATCTTTGACCATTAATACATCTAATTATGTATTACCAAACATTATTATTTTCTAAAAAAAAAAAAATCATTAAGACAAATTAAACAAGACCTCACATAACTCTACTTATGTATTGGGAATAATTTAAGGAATTCCCTAAAATTGTGAATAGTTGCAAGATTTTAAATAAGAATATCAAAAAGAAAAGGAGGGAGCATAATTGCATAAATGTCTAGAAACATTTGGTTTTTATAAAATAGATTGTGGACTTGAGAAAAAGTCCTCCATATTCTTCAGCAACTGTTCTACGGCTTTTCATCAAGGTCCATACAGGCAACTAATAAACAAAATAGTATATACTCGTCATGATACAGCAATATACATGGAAAAATCTCCTGGTCCTCCCACAGGAGAATGGCCCTTCAATGTCTTCACTCTTCAGATTAACCATAAATGCTATTTAGTGACCATGACAAACCAATAGCAACTGGTATTGTAAGTGCTTACAATGTTAAACTTTTCACTATCTAACACTGCTTGCAGGCAATCAATTTTTTAATTAAATGTAAGTAATTACAAATAGGGCAGGTTTATGTAGGAACTCATGTACTCCTTCCTCCGTCCTTATTAACTTGACAGTTGACATACTTTGAGTTTTTGCACAACTTTGACCTTGAATTTTTTTAATTATCTATTTAGCAACAAGTTAAAAATATATATATTTTTTGACAGTATACATAAATACAAATCCAACAACATCTTACATACTAACATTTTTTTTAAAAAGTAAAAAGATGGTCAAAGTAAAGCTAAAAGTCAAAGTGTGTCAAGTAAATAGGGGCAAAAGGAGTATAAGAGGTAGGAAGGAAGGAATAAAAAAGACTATTAGGCATAAAGTTAATGGACCATGCATGAAATAATGAAGATGTTGCGCCATTTCACTAAAGCCAGCTAGAAGCAAAACACCTTAGGAGATTCATCTAAAAGCTAACGTGCCAAAAGCCTTAAATGTCAAAGCAAACAGAAAAGAAAGTATCCTAACAGACTCAACATATAATTCCAATTAAAATAAAAATAGAAAATCCTAGCAGCGTGAGAATATTAAAACTGGATAACACAGCTACTAAAGGGAAAAAAGGAATAAAGGAGCCTCACCCAGAATTGTAAACAATATCAGCAACTAGATCTCTCCCAGTATGGGGCTCAAGTATAGGTTCGAAGCACTCATGAAAAACATTTAGAACTTGAGACACCGGAACGAGAGGATGAACTCGTTCATTGTGTACGTTACAATCATTTCTTCTAGATCTTGTAATAGTCCAGGTTAAGCCTTCCATCGTTGTTGGATTTGAGATTTGCAAGAGTTCATGAAGACGAGCACATATCTCAAAACAGCTTCTGCTACAGAATTTGTCTAGGAATGAGTCATCAGAGACTGATGCTCCTGCTTTGTTAAGGCAAGCCACATGATCTACAAAGCAAACATAAACTATGGTTAAGGAACAGAAAGTTAAGCTATACAACAATATGGATGACTGAGACATTAATTCGAAGGCAGAAACAAACATTGGCGGCTGCATTGGTAACACACTTGAGTAAATAGTTGATCCCCATTGGCAGAATGTTCCAAGCCACATAAGCCACATTGACAAGATGGGCAAAATGATTCTCCGTCAGGAACTTCCTGAAATGGCCACAATAAAATGTATCTGTAAGGAAAATTCTTGATGCATTGAGTTCAAATATTGTACTCAGCTTAAGCAGTTCAGAACTTCAGAATCAAAACAACAGGAAAGCATAGAAGAAGATCACCTGTAATATCACTTTTTAACCATATAATCAGATCTAGGGAGTTGTATCAAGCAAGAAAATACAACTAATACCAGTCCTCTGCCAGAGTAGGAAATTAAAAAAAAAAAAAAACTAACAGTGGTCATGACTCTTACACAGAACATTAGTACTGATAACACATTTATTGGTACCACAAAGTGACTTGTGTCCAAATTGGACAAAAGCCACTTTTGATTTAGACAACCTCATCAAGTCAAACTCCTAACTTGCTTATTCTATACGACTGAAAATACAAAATGTTTGATGTAAAAGAGATTATTATAAAAATAAATAAATAAATAATAAAAAAATAAAATAGCTGTCAAGCTTAGGTAAATTCCACCAAAAACATGCTATCAGCCCAAGGTTGGATGAATGAAGAAGGCCTTCGAAAAAAAGAAGACACTCAACTCACAAGCTAAGAGTACCTTGAAAGGTATACATGCTGTTCTAGAGTGTAAAGAAAATTTAGCTACTAAGCCTACTTTACAATCCTTTACTATGGACCAAAAATAGAATAGGAGTTTTTTTTCCTGCTGCTGACTTACAAGCTGCTTCTTATTTAGAAAGCCATAAATTACTTAGGAAAACAGGGATAATTAAAGAAACAATTGGAATCATTGAAGCTCTAGTATTACCGCTGCATACTAGTTTTTCAATGTAATGTTTTTCTATACCTACAACTTCAGGTTATCAATTGGCTAATTGGCATAAGACTACACCTCTTCATAACATTAGAGTAACTAAGTAAGACATGCTTAAACCTAGCTTATATAGTGAAGTCTGGAACACTTTCATAACACTTTAATATTTGTAAAACTTTATCCACTTTTGCATCCTAATTTAGTTTTGCACCGCATTAAGAAAATGATTTCACGTAAATAAATAGGATAAAAGTAAAGCAAGTTATCTTTTGCGCCCACCCAAACCACAAAAGACACATAGATAGTAGTATGACATGAATCAAACAGAATAAACTGCTGAAGTCGTTCTTTAATTAGGTACATAATTCTAGAAATGGAAGCTTCACCTGAAGGTCAATGCAGGTCAAATGGTACGAAGACAAGCAATGATCACAATGAATTAATTCGCCTCCATGCTGACAGATTAAGCAAACTGAGTCACGGCATCTACCCTTCCTAACCTTCTGCTTACGAGGACTATCTAAATTTTCTTGATGTTCAGACTCTTGACAAGAAGCTGTGACAGGTTGAATCCCTTTGCTACCACTGCCCAATAGATTGGCTTCTTTTTGTTTAGATTTTGATACCTCCAGCTCCTTCTGCGATGTGGGTTTAGATATAACACTAGCCTCCTGAGTCTTCCTTGGATATAATCTTTTGATCCTCTTGGGACTTCTTTTCTTCCCAATGCTGCGCCTAGAAATTCTAATCCGTCTCTCTTTTCTATGAACGGAATATCTCGTACTAATGCCAACCTTCTTTTGCTTTAATAGCATCACTTCTCTCCTATTGTAAACGGGATTATTATCTTGAAACTGTAAGGGCACTGAATCAAGCACCTGCCTTGTTAATCTGGAGTTACAGCTTTTGTGTCGTCCTAATTTATTACCACGTAGTGGGGAAGTTGTCAGTTTCCTAGGTGTCAATTTGTCTTCAGCCAACTGCCATTTCTTTCTAAAACAAATATTTGGAGACATATTTATATTTAAATTCTTTTCAGACATGCTAGGATTTACAGAGGGAGCACCATCATTTTGAGAGGTCCTCATGAGATGAACTCCTTTATTCAGAGCTCTGGCATTTGCCAGACTACAAATCTGACTAGGAACCTGTTCAGTCTCACCATTGTCAGAAGCCTTTGAAACCTCAATATTTAAGGAAGCATCAGCAGGTGCCGGTTGACTTCGCATGCAATCACCATCAGTCATATAGCCTCTGTTGTCGGCAACAGCAATCAAGGAATCCTCCGCTTCACTCAGACACATACGCCTTGTTCTTACCCTAAGACTAAGTTCTTTATCCTTTCGTTTCTGCATTGACCTAGTTAGAACAGAAGCATCTACAAAGCTCACGTGAGACCTCTTGGTTCTGCCTTTTCTTTTCTTCACTGTGTGTATCTGAGTATTAGTAGGAAAAGAAAGACCCTTTCTTCCTTGTTTAGTAGTCATGGTATAGATAACTTCCATAAAGTATTCTTTCCACACACAATATGCACCACATGTCCACTCTGATATCATTTTCTGAAAACCATAATTTACTTTCAAGCGGGACCAAACACGCCTAACAAAATGGAATACGTGTTTGTCTATTTTGTGCTCCTTGACTAGATCCACTAGCTTCCAAACACCCCTTTCTCTCCATTGACCAGTAAATTCATCCCAATCAGAAGTGACACGCAAATCAGTCAATTTGAATGCACGTTCATCACCTTCATCAGGGAAATAAACATGTCGCTCCTGTGCACCCTCATCACAATCAAAAATCACTCCCTCCCACCATGCTTCCTTAAACATAACATCAACACAGACTCCAAAAGTTAGCTTTGCATCTGAAGCACTCATAATTCTTGGAAGAGGAGGTTTGGGTCTTATACGACCACGGTAATTAAATTTGACACAAGGACGCTGGTAAAGACCCTCAATTGCCCCGGTGACAGGTATTGACTCTATGAGCTTGGAACTTCCTGATTCGCACAGCAATTCATCATATTCAACCTTGCGACATGAGTCTAAGACACCAACAACTACTCCAGGGTGCCATGACCCCCCCAAACCTTCCTCAAGTTGCCGCACCTAACAACCACAAGAAAATAAACATTTCAAATCATCAGTTACAGATCTTAGACGTGCATTTCTAATTCAATCCACAGGCAATTATGATAAATCCACCAACAACTAAATTATTATCTGAATTCCCAAGTATAACTAAAATCAAAGACTCAAAAAATGATTCCCAGCACATAGAAAAGATAGAAGAGTAAAAAAAAAAAAAAAAAAAAATAGAGATACAACAAAAGACCATAAGAGTGCTATAAATTACTGATTATCAGAAAACTGCAAATATAAATGTGAAGATAGGTAGAAAAGGGAAGGCATAAAAGTTTCTTCCAAACTAACAGTGGAAGTACAAGATATGAAAACATTCACATACTGTAAAACTGGACTTACTGGCATTGACATACACTCCATTCACCCATATGACAATCAGGAAAATCATAGATTCAGTTCCTACTAAATGCACACTACAAGTCTCTCCAATAACACAACTGAAACTGGCTCTGTACCAATCACGTATGGAAAAGCTCAACTATCAAGGTTTACACTCATTTCCTAACGAACAAACTTTGCAAGTCCAATTTGTGAATTGCAAATTCATAGGTCCAATTCATGCTATATGAATGCAACAGGACACCATCAAATTAATCAATGACAATTGAATCAGCAGCGACGAAATATGAGGGGATAAGGATAAACTTTGGCCCCTAAACCCATAATGAGCAAAGGAAACATTTACTTTATATCTTTCATAAGATGATTGTACTATTCCCCGCCTACTTAAAAACTGTCACTAATCAACAAACACGTCCTTACTTCACTACCCTAACTCACTATATCAAACTGTGGAAGTGAAATATTCGCCTTTCAGTTACCCTAACAATCTAGCACCCCCACCCCTCCTCCAATCTTTATTTTCGCTTAAAAATTTTGTTACCAACATATCAACAATCGCGACATTTATCAAATTTCGTGTCCCAAATTGAAATTTATACACGAAATTGCTTCAAATAATGCACAGCAAACCTAATTTTTTTTTCCTTTTCTATACGTAAACCGTTTAACGGAAATTAATTGCTCGATTCGACACTAATCTACACTAAAAACCTAAATTGAATCAACATATAACATAACTTCGACTACCACCGAGCGACAATACACTACCAATTTCAATCAATTAACCAATTCCAGAACAAATTCGAACTAAAAATTTTCAAAAAATCTAAAAAACATGGCATTGTTTCGTCACTCAAATCGATCGACTGGCAGCGTTAACAGATTCAAATCACATAATTTAAAAAATTATATATATCAAAACGAAGATTGCGAAATCGGAAACTCGAGTAAATCAAACACTAACCTCAACTTTCTGGCGCAACAGCAATTTCCGCGCATTCATCTGGAGAGAGAAAATTAGGTCACGAACTCGAAAAATTGGGGGAAATTCGAAATTTGAGATTTTGGGGAAATTAAAAAATTGAGTGAAGTTCTGGAAAATTTAGTACGTTAGGGCTTCTGTTAACGAGCGTATGAATGACGTGTGCTTGAATTTTGTACTTCTTTTTTCCTTTTAAATAATTTTGGCCCTTTTAATTTCTATTTTTGCGCTCTTTATGTTTTCCAAGAATTTTGAATTGAATAAATCTGTGTTTTATTTGGGCTTATATCCACTTTTTGGTAGGTTGCTTTATTTGTTGTCCAGTGTTCTACACTTTAATGTTTGTAGAGTTAAGTATGACATTAGGTCCAAGTTTTTACTTTTTTTACCTTTTGGAACTCCATTTTTTTTTTACCGTTGAGACCTCGAGTCCACTTTCCGGCCAAAAAGTAACTAAGGTGAGTTAAAAAAACATAGTTCCTTAGTTAAAAAACATAGTCCCCTATTAAAAAACTTAGTCCCCTAAAAAGTAAAGGGTAAATTTGCATTTCCACACCTAACAACACTCCTCCAATTACTCAATTCTCCACCAATCTGAGTGATTATTTAAGACTCATTTGGACCACATCCACGTGGAAAATCTCTTGTATGATGAACTGATTTCATATCCAATAAAATCACAAAGGGTAAATTTGCATTTCCACACCCAAACCCACATCCAGGTGGAAAATCACGAGAAAGTGTAATCCTAGCATTGTGATTATTACTACTTTTACTTCCCTAATTCACATCTTCCTTTTTTCTTTTTTTTTTTTTTTTTTTTGACAAGAGCGAAAGCAAACAAAACAACATTACATCAAATTTATAAGCTTGACCCGACATTGTCTCGCAATATCGTTTGCCCTTTGAACCTGATCTCTTTGTACCTTTAGGATGGTACATCTTTGAACCTAATTTACATCTTCCATAGTTAGGTTTCCAGAGATCAAAAATAGGGGAAGAATTAAATTGCCAAATTGGGTACGATTCAAAGTAAAATGAAAGAAAAAATATGACAAATTTAGAGTTAATGGAGACAGAAACTGTTTAAAATTGAAGAATTCTGGGAAAAAAACAACGAATAACTTGAAAATTAAACTTATCGATGAAGTGGAAATATGAGGGACTAAGTTTATATTTTTATTATTGCTTCCACTTTCATTATTGCCATTATTCAATTTCAATATTTAATGATGTTCATAAGAATATGAAATAACGGTGATTATAAAGTTAATCATACCTATGCCAATTTGTTAATTTTAAATCTGGAACGAAAAAAAAATATTCATTTATTTATTTAATTTTTTTGAAAATTTTAAGGAAAATTAAACTACACAAAACGAGCTCTAATAAACTCTTTATATATACGCTGTATAAAATACTCCGTAAAAAATTCAATTTTCTAAGTTGAACACATAAAAACCAAATCTTTGAATCATATAATAAATTGAACAGCATAAAAACATACAAAAAATGTGCATAATCAACACACCCAGAAAATAAAACCAATCAAATCAAAAGAAAAAAAAAACATGAAGTTACCAAGAACATAAGTCACTTTAAACCTTGAAACGAAACCTTGTGGTGAAAAAATAAAATCCTAGTAGTGAGAACAAATTATAAGAACCTATGTTTTTGGAATTGTCATGTATTAAATGAAGGGAATAAGTTTTTTTACAAGAAATTTAATAAAAGGTACAAAAATTTAATGAACGGATTAAGTTTTGCTCCGGTAAGTTAAACTTAGGTTAGTTTGTCGGATTGTTAACTAGAGATCCCAAGAGGTGAAAAAAAAACTGAGGTCCCAAAAGGTGAAAAAACTAAAAACTTAGTCCCCATTCTTATACTTAACTCTTTGTTTGTATATGAGAAGAAAAAAAATAGATAAATAGTTTATACTTCATCCGTTCTAGTAATATTTTTTTTTTTTGGTGTTCCACCCGGTTTACCCTTTGAGCTAATCCGGATTCGGGGATCAGTTTTGGGTGGTTAGGTTTCAGTCCCCTTCCAGTTATTGTTGTGGGGGATCGAACACGGGTCCTCCCTACCAAATGTAGTCCCAATCACCACTACACCAATAGCCAATTTGTAATACCCCGTATTTTTATACGTATTTTAACTTAAATAAGTATTTCTTAAAGTATTTAAATAATTCAAAATGAATTATTTATGGTGTTTCATTAATTTAAAAAGAATTATTTAATAAAAATTTTATTTTTAATTATTTAACAATCTTGAAATATTTTATTTCGTGATTTGGAAACTTTGGGATATATTATTTTATGAAAGGAAATTTTAAAGTTAACGAGTTTTTAAGGAAAGTCAAAATACTAGTTTGAATAGGAAGGGGATCATTAAGGGCAGTAAAGAAATTTTAAGTAGGAGGGTTTTTGAGAGAAGGTATAAATACTCATCATATGAGCAAAATCAAACTTTGCCCAAGGTGAAGAATACCCAAAGGTAAACACACACACACACACATTCTCTCTCTCTCTCTCTCTCGCTTCTCTTATTTTCTTTTCCCCTTAATTTTCCCCTTCCCCTTTATTTTTATTTTGTTACATCACCACCCACACACACCACCATACGCCGGCCACCACCCACACCGTCGGCCACCACCGCAGCCACCAACGAACACCGGCGACAGCTGCGGCACCACCAGCAGGCGCGTGGCAACAGACCTGCTGTGGTGTTGTGGCTATTAATCCACCCTTAATCTAAATATTGTTTTTGGGTTTTGTGATAATTTTTATGATGTTTGATAATACATATTTTGTATATAAATTTTCAAATTTGGTTTTGAATTAAAAAGCCCCAAATTATAAACCTAGGTTTCTAAGTTTATGTATGTGGATGAAAATTGTTTATGGATGATTTAAATTATTGAAATAAGTGTTTTAAAACACAATTACTGCAATTTTAAATGATTTAATAAAGCTGGAATTTTTATTATAAGTTATAATTATATTTCTTGAAAGGATTTTTAATTACCCATTAATTGGGAATAAAAATAAGGGTTTTAAATTAAATTTTAGCTTATTTTAAGGGATTTATGAGTGATTTAAAGAGTGTATATATTGCTGGAAATTTGTGTGGAATAGGTATTAATGCCTCTTAATAATTTTGGTTTGTAGGAGGTTTCCAAGTGAGTGGTCTTATTTAGTCGTGGCAATTTTGAGATCATATTCAAGGTACGTTCGCATACTTGGTAATTATTTGAATGTGTAGAAGCATGCTAGGCTTTGTTTAATTAATTCCAAGTAGTATCATGATAGTCGTTGGTTGAAATCTGTTGATTGGATTGATGTTGGTATATGGTTTGTGATGTATGAATTATTTATGATGAATTGGTGATTGGAATTATATGTTGGCATGTTGATTATGAACCACACTTTTATTATTGGCATGACAGAGAGTATGTTTAATTAAAGTAAATGTTTAATTTGGTTTGGAATATGAAAAGGAAATTTTATTATGGTTCATATTATTTTTATTGATGCTATAAGCATGAGGAAAGAGCTATTTAAGTGTCTATGTATACGAGGATTAAATTAAATTTTGGTGCCTAAGTGCACTTAAGGTGATCTTAACACCGAGGGATAGGATTTGCGGTACTTTATGCGCTTAAGGTGTTATTTAATACCGAGGTAGTTTAAAAAGCATTCAACATTTAATTTATGTGGTCACTAATTATTCAAGAATTAAATTGGTATGTTTGATTGCTTGAATGAATTATAATGTTTGATTATGTTATGGTTTGAGAGTCATCACCAAGTATAATAATATGTAAAACAACGTAAAGTGAAAGAGATTATGCACCAAAACTTTTGGAACATATATACCTTGAGTATGAACATATGGGGGGAGTTATGCGACTTTATATCTGACCATAACTGTAATACCCCGTATTTTTGAAAGGTATTTTCTAAATTAAAGAGTATTTTAGTCTCGTATTTTTGACGTATTTTTAAATTAATTATTTTCCTAAAGAGTATTTTAGTTTTTGAACCAAAATGATATTTGAATTTTGGCGCCTAAATCATTTGTCTTATTATTTTACAAAACTAATTAAATAAAACCGAATTAACTTAATTAATTAAGATAAAATATTAAATGAATTAAAATGGATAATCTAATAAATAAAACCATTTTATATCAATGTTATAAATAGTATTTTTGATTTCTCGAAAATTAAATAAATAAACCGAAATTATATTAATTCGGTTAAAATAAATTAATTAAACTAATTTCCTAAACTAATTAAATGATATTTCGGATTTTATGTAATGAAAACCTGATTTGTTTTAATATTTTTCTAAATTAATTACTTTCATGAAATATATATTTAATTATATAATATTTTACCTAATCTATGAAATTAGCATAAGTGATCCGAAAATATTAAGTTAATAATTTGCTTAATATTTTCGGCCACCCCTAAATTTATTTAATAAATTAGACTAATTTCCTAAACTAATAAAACTAAAATTCTTCATAATATTTTCAGATATTAATAAGGAAAAATCTGATTATTAGCTTTCCAATTATTAATTTTCAAAAAATAAATTTAATTAAATTATTAAGTTTAGGCATAAAAATATTTTACAAAAATCTACGAATTAACATAGAGGGACCGAAATTATTGAGCTATATTGAGCTCAATATTTTCGGCCACTCATAGTTTTTTTTTTAAATAATTTTAATTTATTTTTATTAAAAATAAAAGTCCTATAATATTCCTTATTTCTACTCCTAAATTTAAAATTTATTTGATCTTTTTCTATACTTGCACTCCAAGCTCAAAACTTACTAAACAAAAATTTCATGACCAAACTAAAATCTAATATTCTTCCATACATTTAATTATTTCCTAAACCCTTAAAACCCTATATTCCATTCTTTGAAATTGCCATAAATTACACCCACCCTAAATTTCTATAAACTCATCACCTAAACACCTATAAATACCCCTCTTCCAAACATCCCAAGACACACATTAAAACCTTAAAAAAAAATCTCTCTCTCCCTCACGGTTTTCCTCTTCTTTTTCCTCCCTCAATTTCCGGCCACCACCATCACCGGCGACCACCTGCTGCCACCGGCGACCGCCAGTCACCACTGCCGGCCACCCTTGCTTCCTCTTTTTCCTTTGGTTTCCATCTCCATCCTTCAATTTCTCCTTTCTACTAACCTTGTTTTACATTACTAAAAATTTATAATTGAATTTCATATATATTATTTCTTGAATAAATTATAGTATAAAAACAGAAAATTATTTAAATTATAAAAACAATAAATTATTTTATTAAAATATAATGATAAATTATAATAAATTCATGCACATATAGGATAGATTGGTTAAGTTGTTGTGCTTATTTGATAGCCTTAAATTAATTAAGGTTATAATAATGTGTAGGGTGTTCGTGATTAAGTGAAGTAATTGTGTGAATCGCTCGTGTTACGATCAAGGTACGTTATGTGGTTTGATACCTTCGAAAGTTGTCTATGAAATTATGTTTTATTATGTTTCTTATGAAATTA